CTCTAAATAACAGGTGCCGGTTTATGGTTTTGACTAGTCTTATTTCCTTCTTTTCTACCATAGTTTACTGTTTTTTTAAAAAAAAAGTTTGTTGTGATTTTGGTACAAAAGATCGTTGGGAAGAGTTCTCCCGAAATTTTTTTATTTTAATTCTATGTATTTATAAAATTAAATAAAAAAAATTAGATCAAATTTAGATAGCTAGTTGTTGAGGAAAATCCATTAAAATTAAAAAAAAATTTGGCTTTGGCTTTTTATACTTTTTTTTATAGGTGTCTAAACTTTAAAAAAAGACTACTTGGCACTTACCTAATCAAATTCGACCAAAATTTTTTTATTTTAATTCTATAGGGCTCATTAAATTAAAAAAAAAAATTGATCAAATTTGATTAGGTAAGTGCTGAGTAATTTTTATTTAAAGTTCATTTTCTTTAAAAAAGAAGCTATGGCTATATTTTTTTGTATTACAATGTTTTACATACTAATATATTGTTAATGTTTCACATACCACTATATTTTACTATTTTAATATTTTACATATATTATTTATACTATAAATTATATTCTATTTATATCAATATGCATATTTTGTATAGATTATTATAAATATCAAAAATTTTCGTTTTATCTTTTTTTCTTGGGTATGCTAATTTCTGTAAAGTGCTATAAAAATGGATCTGATTCCTCTTCAAATAAATACTGATAATAATAACAACACAGAACAACATTGCAAAGGATGTGATAAAGATCGTCCTTGTAGTTTGTTCATTGATAATAATAAAACATTTCGTACTTGTAATTTGTGCCGCACTTAAGACAAAAAAAATAAAAATAAAAAGCACCCCAAAGAATATAATAATGAAATAATTGTAGATTTTTATGATTTTTATGACTATATTATGCAATTTTTTGACTCATTCAAAGATAAAATAGTAGATAAGAATTAAGAAAATCTAAGGCCTTTAGAGTTTGAATTTTCCTGTATTATAAATATTTTTATATTAGAAGGTAATTCTAAAGAACGAACAAATCAAATAATTGAAGTAATATCAGATGTAGACGAATATAAATGGATGTAAGTTAAAGAATTATTTTGATTATAAAGTTTAATTTTAAATAATTTTATATTTAATAAATAATAATAATTATTTAGATA